TTCTGAATTAAACTTCAGCTTCAACCTTTGATTTTAATAAAATTTGCAAAAAAATTTGCAAGACTGGCAGGAGTAAAGTGAGTGCAAAGAAGGTATGGATTGACCAACACAGAATTTGAAACTAAATTATATTTGTATATTTTTGTAAAAACTTTGAAGATTTTAATCAACTATAAATATCAAAACCTCTTTAGATTTTGTAACTGCATCTGAGCATAAACTGATTCAAGTCATGCATATGAAATTTGAATGCCATTATGAAAGTGAAATGAAATTTACTTCAAATCTAACAAAGAGAGAACTTTTCCAACAGCAGTAAGAACAGCTGGCCTCAGCAAAATATTCACATGACTATCTGAGCACTACTGATTCCAAAACTGAAAGTCAACTATCTACTTTTCAAGTTTTGAGGAACATATTCAAATTACCACCATTAAACTAAACTCAATCCATGGTTAGGCCCAGCATCATAAGCCACCATCAGTGGCTTATGGTTTTCAGAACAGTGTTGTGGAAATGTTTGCAGAATCTCTAACTGCTTTGTAGGCTATAAGATCTAATCCTAAAATGTTTCCAATTTCTTTGTGGCAATCTAATGTTAACAGGTTTTAAAAGGGTATGAAAAACCACACATACAATTGGATAAGTAAAAGTTTGTGTAATTAGCATTATCTTCAAAACACCTTTTTTATAAAATCCATTCTTACACACACTTGTGTTTTTTTTTCTTAGAACAGAAACCTTCTTCTGCTAATGTCTCCTTTAAAGTTAGTTTCATGTTATTTTTAACTACGTTCAGAAGACATAAGTTGTCTTTTTATGTACAGAACAGACAACAGAGAAGCTTCCTAGGAAAAGTTGACAGTTACCCAGTGGATCTTTCAACCTCAGCCTTGGTTTGAAAAGACCTTTAAGGGCGAGATAGTATTTCAGTGCTGAAGGAAAAAATGCTCAGAAAGTTTAGGGCTTGATTCTTTGTCCAAAGGAGTTTTGCTACTGACCAGAAGACACCTTTAACGTAAAAGAAAAATCCACACCTCTTTATTCATCTAACTAGAAATCTAACTGATCATTACTGAAGTATTTAATTGTCATCCAAAGTGACTTTTCATTTTGTGTTCAATGGGCTAGTATATTCCTGCTAATACTGTAGAGAGTCTAGTATTCACAGATATGATTCCTTACTACTACATTAAAATTTGTGGTCTTATATTTTCATGTTACATATGTCACAGTACATTCCATAATATCCAAATATTCATGCTGGAAGAACATATCAGAAGACCTTAAACTGCATAAACAACGTAAAATCAGAACTGCGCCTAGCAAATGTGTTCAGTGCCTTGGAAACACTGAAATGAGCAAATGCAAACAGAAGTGGGATAAAGACAAATTGACATCAACAACACAGAAGTAATTTCTAAAATGTTGTACTTAGAATAAATACCGACAGATAAAGAGAAGGGTTACACGTTGTGGACCATTTACTTTTTTCTTATTAGGCAATTCTATATATTCTTACATTTTTAAATGGTGCAAAGAAAAACAAAATTTACTAAATATACAAGTAATAAAATCAGTATTCCTCATGGTATTTAATAATCTTTATACAAGTGATATCTGACATGTTTGTCCTTCAATTCACTTAAGCCTAATCACCCCAAAAAGATGAGACCAGCATTGCCATAACTATCTCTTAATAATAGTAGCATCATTAATTTTGTCAGTAAGAATATCTTCTTATTCAATGTTCCCTAACCACAATGGGAGAGATGACAACTCTATAAATGCACAAACTTCCATATTTTCCTGTGTAAATATGTAGCAACATATGTGTATCTGTGAATGTGAACATTCTTACTGTGTGCTGGTATTCTGGTGTCTTGGGACAGTCTGCAATTAATAAACTAAATTCCCACTGAAATTAACTAAATAAACTAAATTTCCCACAAGAAAGAATATCAGCTTATATTCAGGCCTAGTCCTTCTCACTTAAATACAAAAATCTTCCATTCATTTCAAGTTCTCTTAATCACACCTCATGGAAAAAGTAATAAAATATGCAGAATGTAATGTAAATAAATACAGCATGACTTACAGGCACACAGAAAAATTGCTGGTAGATGGCTGCCCTGCATTACATTTCACAGAGAGGAAAGAATTCAATTTAGACTCAATACAAACAATCCACTAGTCCAGTGCAATGATCCACTTCACACAGGGAAGTCCTGCATCTGTTTTCTAGAGGTAGCTACAGACATTCAAGACAGTGTTTGTGTCAGTCCTGACCTCACTGCCCTGACCCCACTTGTCTTGGGTAGTGTATCTGTACCGTGCAGTGGCTAGCACACACAGGAGGGTCTCTCCAACAGCAAGCCTTAGAGGGAACACTTCAGGAAGCTGGCCAAACAGGGGAATACTTCCATAAATGATGTTTCTACTTATGCAGAAGCTGCAACAGTATCACCATGTTTTACAGCCCTGAGGGTCTTTGTCTCAGTGAACTGTCTTTGTAGGACTCTGTGCGTTCTAATCACATCGCCTTGTAAACTCTATATATTGGGGATTTTGTGTGACCTAATGAATCTCAGGCCAGTTTACACTATGATTACGTGAAGCTAACGACCCAGTCATTATTTTAAATAAAGTGGACACATTTCAGTCCTTTACATTCACCAGGCATCTTGCCATATATTAAAAATATTGACAATGAGTTTAATAGCCTCTGAAGAGAGCTAGCACACATCTCTAGCTTGTTCAGTCTAGATAGAAGGTGTCAAAATATGTCAAGGAAAGGTTGCAGTGAGGCTTGGGTTAACACACCTTCATGGGTGTTTCTAGCATGGTCAAATCAAGCTATTAATTTTGCCACTGTGCTGCCATGAGCTCAACAAAAACAGAAAAGGGAAAAAAAAAGACACGACACTTACTGCAATGACTGAGATGAAAGTAAAACGTATCTTGAACACCAGCAGTAACTAGTTTACTTATAGGAAAGAGATTGGAAGTGTATAATAAAGGTTTAGATCTACAATTTGATGTGATGACAACATACAGTTTGTTCAGACACTGTCATACTTGTCAAATTGGTCCCCTATAAATATAGGCAGAAGCACTAAAGAATACTAACAAAAGATCTAACATAAAATAAGACACTCAAGTGTGCTGTATCAGGAACTTATAATTTCAAAATGTTAAGGTAATAGTTTCTTTTTATAGAACCTAATAATATGCCATTTGACATGGAATAAAAATTGAACATTTTAACTGAGTAAAATCAATGCAAACTGTGGAAGCAGACAAGTTCTTTCAGCACAGAAGCAATAGATGACATGCTTATGGTATTTTTAAATAAGCTTTCTCATTTCAGTGCATTTTCCACATAAAAAATTGGCATCTATTAATAAACGGCCTGTTCAGTATTTGCTCATTGATCTGTCATTTAAACCCTCTCTAGAATATTCAAAACTGCCTAAAATAGATGCATAGCTGGAGACATATATATATATCTGTGTATGCATATATATATATATGTAAAAGTAAATATAAAATATGTATAGAAGTGAGTCCCTGTTGAAGAAAAGACACAAGTCCATATGCTAAAAGACACTAAAAAAACAGTAACAAATATTTAATTTGATTTATATTGGAAACATTCAGCAGTGAAGATGCAGACACCAAAGACAGTTTCTATCTATTCCTTTAACATTGTTTTCAGAGCAAGTATACAGAAAAAAACTTAAGACTTACCATACGAAAAGTATTTTGCCACCTTCCCTAAGACACAATCTTAGTTACTGTAACTTTGAGGGCAACCTCATAACTTCAACCTTCAAATTACTAATTATTATGTCAAGCAAGAACTGCTTTTCTATTATACTAGTTCCTCCCCTAAGTAAGTATTCCTCGCTACTTGAAATGTTATCTTTTGTTAATCTGAATTTTTAAGTCTTAACCCAATTTTACTCCACATGACAGTGTCTGGGTTAAGTGACAGTGTTCTAAAATATCTGTTTTAGCAATAATGTGTGTGCATTCCAAACTGTCAGACAATACTGATGCTTTAAAATGTGTCTTCAGAGAATTTGGGAAACCCACATATTCTATCCATTTTATTTTCTGTTTTCAACTAGAGCAATGGCAGGGCTTTTAAATACATAAAAAGATGGTAAGAACTAGCTAGAATGTCAGTCTTAGCTAGAATGCCAGCACATCTCTGCAAACCAGACAGAACCAATCTGCTAGAGCTATTCCACACACACTAAAACCCAGAAAAACCCAACCAGCCAAGCATCTTTATTCATGAGAGGACTCCATCTGTTCACAATAACAAGTGTTTTACTGACATTATGAGCTCATGCTTGTAAACAAAACCTTGCTCTGTTAGCCCCAGCAGGAAAACAGATAGAAAATAGGTAAAAAGTGATGGAAAAAGTACTTCCCTCAACAAAAAGAACAAGAAATTGTATTTGCAAAATGAACAAACTAATTTTTTAATTTAAAGTATATTTAGGATATCTTGACAGCTTTCTGAACCACTTCTAATTGCTAACTAAATTTAAAGTCCGATATAAATCTGCAATAATTTCAATTACCTAAATTAATTATATTTTTCTTATAACATATACAAGCAATCAAGTGGTGCATGAACAGATTATTACAATATGATGATTTCTTATAATAGAAACTTCTATAAATAACAAAACAGAAAACACTGACTTGTGTGTCAGTGCACAAGCTGAGTAACACTGCAAAATTAGAAATACAGATGCCTTACTGCGGTTACCAACTGTTTAGAGCCTTGAGTTTCAGTTACTGAATTCTACATTTATTTCATTTTGTGGTATTTGCAATCCAAGCATATGACAATCAATGCTACCAAAAATTACTATTTTCATTAATTATGATACAGTAAAATTTGAATTATTTAGAAGCAGAATACATCTGATAGCTGTACTGAAGACTAGCACCTAAATGAAGAGAAGAATTATTTTCCCTACCTTATAATCATCTTCATAGTCATTATATCCACAAGTACTTAAGATGTCAGGAAAAATATCTGACCATCCATTACTCGTACAATTTTTGCTAATATTTCCTGTAAAGTAAAATTTGAGAGTTTAAATCAGAAAGATTCAAAAGTCTCCTCATCAATGGATCTTTAGACAATATGACCTTGTCATTTTTTGTTAACATCCTCTATTTCCTAGCACTCCTGTTAAAGCAACCCAGACATTTCTTTTATCTGTTCAGAAAAAATTAAAAGGCAATTCTTCAAAAATTCTAAAGATGAGAAGACAACTATTTTTTTAATTCACAATTTTAGTTAAGAAATCCTTCAAAGAATTTATGGTATTTAAAAGCCTACTTGTGATCTGGAATAATTTCATAAAAAATAAGGTTGTCTAGATCATCTTGTAGTAGAATTTAAATTCCTCTTAAACCCTGAAAAAATGACAATGTCTCCCAAATCTGGCAAAATAAAGAGTTAGATTACTTGTTTAAAGATATTTCTATAATTTTGTGCCGTAAGAAAAAAACAAATTTGAAATGTGCTGTGTATTAACTAAATTAATTACATATTCCTGAGCATAATGACATTATAAAGGTACTGAGATACTTGGTTAGATCTTAAATGAATCAACCATGCAGGATGTGTGCTGTCTTCCTTCTCTGACATTACAGAAAGAAATGACTTTAAAAATCCTCTTCAGTCAACGGATACCTCTGAAAACCCACCCTTTTAGTTCTGTAAACTGGAAGTAAACAGGTAGTTTTGAAAAAAGACAGATACAGGAAAATTTAGTGATATAAAAAGGAAGTGATCTTTCAGTCGTGATGATGCCATGCCCAAGTGAGACAGAGCTGCAATGCATTGTGAAGGTTTCAGATGTAAATATTTATTGCAGTTATTTTATAGGAAAACTAAAATGTTACTGTAACATAAAATACTAACAGTTGTTAAATATCAGCCATCCAAACTCCAAAGTGATCATTCATGCCCCAGCTGTTGGTAAATAGAAGCAGTGTGATTTAATCAGATTTTGAACTTTTGATATATATGAGTTTGCCTTGTCTCATGACAACACTTCACCATATTTGTTTGAGTCATTTGAATTCTTTTATAGATTTCACAAGATTTAGTGAAGATTACACATACTTGCCCCTTTATAAACTGTTTAGACTATCCATGATAAATTAATCAAGATTCACCCTCCAGGAATGAAAAACTTTGGTCATCTGTAGATTGTTTTAGTTACCTATTCTTTACTGGAACAAGACTTCACCAACAGTTTTGAGAATCAAGGTATTTTAGTCATATCCCAAGTTAGCCTCTGTTAAAAGAGTCTCTACTGTTGAAAAGGTCTCCACAGAAACTTCAAAACCAGAATTAAATCACTGTGGTAAGTTTTGCAGATTTCACTAGCTTTTCATCAGGTCTTTATGACAAAGGTTTCTGACCTGAGCAATGGTGGTAAGACCTTTCCTGTCTTTCCTGCTCTATTTTGAGAGACATACATGAAATGCTATGTGTGAATCATCTATTTTTGAAATCCCACTAACAAGCCAAAGTGCAAAATTAAACCACAATATGATGTATTGACAAGATGGTGCAGAAGAGAGTAGACTTAAAACAGTTAAATGTTTCAGCAATCTGAGACACTGATGAGCTCCTGTTGAAGTCCATTAAAAAGCAGAATAAAACGTTTCATAATAACTACCTTAAATTGCAATAGTAATAAATTTTAGGTAGTCTGTGTTAATCTTGGCTCATCATTCTCATGAAGGCAAGGCAGAGCTCCCTTCCTAAGCACAGAAGGAACAACCTGCATGTGACCTGCTGGCAGCTTTTAAAGATGTCAGTCAGGCTCAGCTGCCTTAGTATTAACGGAAATAGGTCAAAAAGAGCAAGCAGTGTCTTCAGCCTTGATGAGTAACATTATATCAGAAAACATATTTAGTATCTGACTCAAGGAATATCACACAGACCACAGAGACACTTATTTGTCTTTTTCATGATGTGTCATGAACAGCTCTGTTAAGAATCTATTATTTTAACTCTTTAAAAAGAAAAGAAAACCCTTACTCTGCAAATAAACTACTTTTAGCACATTATGTTATAAAATAGCAAAGAGAAGCCAACAAAAACACATCTTAAAATGAAATACCTGGTTTGCCAGAAAAAAGGCTAAATACTTTTGGACAAGGGACAGTGACAGTCTCTCCAATCTTTGCAGGACGCCAACACGTAATGTTATCCCAGACTCCAACACATCCTGAAACAAAACCAGCAGTAACAGACTTGAGAGCCCAGTCTGGCATGAATAACCCTACCGTTTTTACTTTATAGAGACTTAGTGAAAGCTTTGGATGAGTACTTTCTCTTTCAAGAAACTTGCAAAGATGGAAATTCTGTGAAAATGTCAAGGGAATTATAAGAGTCTGCTGATTAACCAGCTTAGTTAACATATTGTTTGCAAAATATCTCATTAAAACTATGCCATTTTGATGGGATGACGCTAAGAAAAAAAAGATAAAAAATAACTTCTGAGTATTAATATGGATTATCAACAATTCCAAAATTGTTAGAATCTCTTAATCACAGTTAAAATTAATTTTTTTGTCTGCAATAATAGGCAGATTCAATATCACAAAGAAAAAATTAAGTAGTTCATTGGACTCAGCATGTCAAATACGATAGGAGCACATGATGACTGGAACAACAGACATGAACTTTCAAAATCATCTATCCCACAGTAAATGACAGAGCTTTGAACAAAGAATGCTTCTGTATATTGATTTCAGGAAAGAAGGGTCATAAAATTTTACAGGCATGTTTTATAGTAACAACATGTTATGAGCAAATACTAACTTCTTGTTACAGCTTTGTCCATGATGATGTCTATATAAAACTGGCTCAGAAGCACCTTGTGAATGAGCATAAATTTTCCTATAGAAGATTTACTTGGATCAACCATGCTTTATTTGTTAAAAGGTGTCTACTTATAATGCATGCATTCAAGTGAAGAGTTATGAAAGTTTCTGAATATAAGCCTTATGAAGAATTAATTATGAGGACAAAGAACTCAGAAAATGTTACTTATATTAACACAGTTCGATTTATCTGAAAAAAAAAAAAAAAAAAGTGCAAAATTCCAGCTATATGTGTCTTCAAATGAGGCAATTGACAACTTATATTTGTAATTAAAGCTAAAGACAGAAACAAAACTTTTATCTTACCAGTATTATCTCCATAAGATTACTAGAAAGTGTAAAGGACTGTTTGTTCTTTTAAGTGGAGAACTTGAAACGTGGATTAGGAACTGCTCACATCCACATATAATACTATTCTTCAAAAAATTTATAGTATTAGCAAGTCACTATTTATTTACTTTGTGCCAGTGTGCCAGTCCCAAAATCAAGCCACCTTAGTTAAATGAATCTGGAGAAAGAATATTTAAAAGTTCTATGTTTGTATTAAACTATATCAATGCAATTAGACCTGGACAACTTGTGTTGAATTAAGAAGTGTCTAGCATCGCACGTGTAAACTAGGGACTAAAGACTGCATTACAGGACCAGCAGCTGGATTTGCCCCCGGGGGTATGTCCTAGCTGTGGCATGAAGGGAGAGACAGTGGCATAGTATTGCCATGGGCCTTGCTTTCCTTTGGAAGACATCTAAGTGTGACAGTTGGGAGGAAGCCTCTGTGCTGTACCAAGATTAGGGTTTGGACACGAAAAAGGAAGACGAGAGGAAGATTATGGGGTAAATTCTGCATTTGGTCGCCAATTCCATCAAGTCCTCTCTATACAGTTTCCCAAGGAAATCCTATTCTCCAGAGGAGTCACTTGTTCATGGGGACTGGGTCTGTCTTCATTCTTCTTAGGACTATACAGGTCTCAATGCAGCATCTCTCCTATATTCAGAAAGCTGATGCCAAAAATAAGGGATTACTAATGGGAACACTTCACAAAGTTTATCTGTGGGTAGATAACGTCTAATGCCTTATCTGCCACTGCCTTGCACATTGCACCAATCTCCAAAGAGGTACAGAAAAATGTCTTAAACATTCATCATCTCACCCAACCACCCATACTCACTTCAGTGCCTTTTCCAGTCAAGCATAAAGAGTCTCCAAAGATGGAGATACCACAACCTCTCTGGGCAGCCTGCACACACAACTTCCTCCATTAATAATTTTTCTATGCATCTAATTAAACAGGATTTCCGTTGCTGCAGGCTGCTTCCATTGCTTCATGTTGTGTTTCTTAGGGGTTTTTTGTCTGTTCACATCTGAGAAGAGTCTGGCTCCATCTTCTTTAAAAGCCCGCTAGGTAGATGAAGACATGAATCAGATCACTCTTACAAAAGCTAAACAAACCCAATTTTGAGTCAGTCATTATATGCTACATATTCCAGTGCTATCTCCATGCCCTCTGCTGAGACGATAAATGGCTTTCCTGTATAGAGGAGCCCAAAGCCAGACATGGTACTTTGCTGAGATGCAGTCTCACTAGTGCCCAAGAGAGACAAACAATTACTTCTCTTGATCTATCCTTTTGCTAACGTAGGACAGTATACAGTAAAGCATCTCCACAAGGCTGCACTGCTGACTCAAGTTTAAATTAGTATTTCTAAAGCAAACTCCTAAAATGGATGAGGAGTTCCTGTTGCCACTGACAATTCACTCTTGCAAAGTTTCTGGTCCTTACCTCCTGAATGAGTGCTTTTAGCAACAAACTCAGCATGAACTCAGGGTGAATACTCTTTGAACTTCATAAGCAGTCCCGTGTTTCTTGATGATCATTCAGAGTTTGTCCTTTCGAGTACATCTGCCCCTACAGCTGGTTCATACATTTCTGTAACTCATGAGTTTTGTATATATTTCAATTTACCTGTGTACCCTGTATTCCCTTCTCACACTTCTGGCTTCTCTTTTAGCATTAGTAGCAATACCTCTGAGATTATGTTGGCTTGGTTATTTGTACATAATTTAAGAGGTTTACATCTGAGGAAGCAGATGTAAACCTACATTCCCTCTGAAGTCAACAGAACTTAAAATATGTCTAGGTGCTTCCTGAGTTGCAGAACTGGGTCAAAATCAAGTCCAACTTCCAATGATGCAACACTAGGGCTTATACATATTAAAGAATGTTTACCTTAGCCAATTCGGGTCATGCTTTCTTCCTAACTGATTTTAAGCCAGAAACAACAACAACAATGTGACATACAAGCAATCAGAAAGACAAAGAAACTGTTTTATTCATCTGCCAGCATTCAAAACTGTAGTGACAAAATGAAACTCTTTTGTCTCCAAGGGATGTACTGCCTGAGCCAGCATAAACAAGCCCTGGAGTACACAAGAATAATTAGCATCTTGTGTGACTTTAGACCTTTGTAGTTCATCCCCAATTTCCACAAACGAGATCTGAGAGCCACGAAAATCTTCATGCACACCCATAAAAGCTGATGACTCAAAACTTTTTCCTTTTGCTACAGTAATCTGTAAACAGTTCAGAGGCATTTATAAACTTTTGCTACTCTGCTATATGGACTGGGCTAAAAAGGAATCTAAACAACATGGACTTCAGAGCTCCATTAGTACATTTTTCACAAAAAAAAAACCAAAAAAACCAAAAAAAAACCAAAAAACCAAAAACCAACAACACAAAAACTGTTATTCAAGGTTCAACTACATGAAGTATTTCACAGAATACTTAAGTCCAAGTAAGTCCTATTCCCACCAAAACTAATCAACACAATTTGTATCAGATCTCAAAGCTAGCTTTCTGGAAGGAAATCAGTACACCAGTTTCTGACATTCAAAACAATAAAAGTCACTAATGTTTGCTGGGGGATGTATTTTTTACCTCAGTTTTTCCTCAGTATTTCAGGACAGGCATCTACTGCACAGGAGAGAATGATACTTTTTCAGAGTCCAGAAATCAAACAGATGAAATAACAAAAAAGGTATATTTGTTACATCTAGACTACATTCAAGTGCATCAGCAATCAGGAGACTGAAACTTCAGTGGCTGTCATCAGAATTCCAAGAAGAAAATTAATCCTCAATTAATGTATATTTACAGGCTTATTTGTTACGGTCCAGGAAATCTGAGAAACTGCTGAAATGTCCTGGATGCACTTAGAGTCACTGAATGACTACAGTGCACTTCTGAAAACTGGTCCAGTGCTGAATGCTGAAGTGATGGTGTTACTGGTGTGCTGCTAGAGGCTGCTACAAGTAAAACCATTAAACAATATGCACTTTCTGGGATTTCAGATAACACCTTTCCGCATTTACTCCTCGTCCTCTCACTACAGATTTTTTTACAGTATTGTAGTCACATACCTTTTTCTTCTCTTAGCAAAACATACCCTGATTCAGAGATGGGATACAATTAACAAGTCCATTCTTAGTACACTCTCATCAGTTTGTCACTTCCATCCCAACAACCTATCTCTATTGTACACCACTAGCTTACTTGTGCACAATGAAACTAGTAATTAATTTCCCCCTGATCTTGGAAACTGAAGATCTGGCACAACTGGAGACCCTGGCGAGTCTCACAGGTCTTCAAGTGCGTATTACTCTTTACCCACCATAGTATTCTTTTACAACAATGACATCCGCAATATTGTCAGAAAGTGAGGAGAAAGATTAACTTCATCATAAACCAACATTAACATAGGCCACAATAATTGCTTTCAACGCTTGGCAGTTCCTACCCAGTTCCTGTAAGCAGCCTACAATGCCATAAATACCTGCACTGCTAGAAAATGAAGGTGCAGTGAATGCTATGTTAAATTTGTCTCCTCCTGGATGTAGTTCATCTAACTTGATCAAGCTTGATATTCTCCCCACTCCTCACTTCCTCTCTACTACTCTCTATCCAGAAATTAATGCATTCAGTGTTAGGATTTCTGGACTGTCATCCATCACTGCTGCATTTCATAAAACCACTATGTATGCTCTTATTCTCTAGAAGTTTTATAGAAGCCTGTTTCCTACTGTCTTCAAAGGATACTCTTCAAGTAAGATAGAAAATATTTTTTTTAAGTTTTAGTTCTAGTAAAAATTTTGCTAATAAAGCTATAGAAAATATCTCACATTCTAAATAAAACTTAAATTGCTCCAATGTTTATTTCATATGTCTGCAATTTTCTATATTATGTTTAAAAAATATTCTAAGTACTCAAAAGTATTTTAATATAGATTTTTATCCTTTTATGTTCATTAATGGATTTAGTCTGTTTACATACTACTTTAATA